ATGGTGCAGCCACCCACTTGACTCAGGGCAGCACTACCTGTTCAAGGCACTTGATGTAGGCCTCCAGGTTGAGTCTGGGGCCCTGTGGGAAGATGAATGGAGGCATAACGTCACCATCAGCAGTGATCACTCCTAACACCTTCGTAATCACCATTAGACTTATCCAACTTTTTCCGAATCCTCTGCATTCTCCTCAGATTGACACCCAAATACTCTGAAATGTTCGTATTGTAGCTTCCAGCTCGGATGCCAAGTAGTACAGTATGGCGTTTTTAAAATATCTGGCGGAGTGAATTTTCTCATAGTACTCTTTTTCTTATAGACTGTGCCCAAATGAGCCTAATGTACTGCGCAGGACACAACATAAAAACGCGCATGCGCGAAATGAAAAATATTAAATGGCGACAAATTACCCATCGAAACATTTAGTTGTAATGTGGTCTTCTGCTAATTTATGACGAAAAAGCCTTATATATTTAACTCTGTTATTTCGTAGTAGAATGTTTCTTTGTATAACATCGTATAGCTGAGCAATGGCACTGATCTGTGGTCGAGTCTAGAAGAAAAATGATTTCAGATGATGAAGCATTCCTGATATGGACGATTATCTGATTTGATTTGATTTATTTCACGGCATATCCACTTCTTATAGGTTATTTAATGCCGAAATTTTATTTCTGGGGGAGATTTGGTAATTTTTCCGAAGAATGTACTACTGGTATTTTTTAAAAAATAATATATTGCTGGTCATTTTTTTTTCATTTATGTACTGCTTGTAATTTTTTCTAATGTATTTTTAGATTTTCATGTTTTGACTCAAGTTTTTTTTGGGGGGTCACTATTTTCCCATAGTTGGGACCCCAACAGGTTTTACCACCCTGACCTATAGTGGTCCTGAGAACAACAACAATTAAAAGATGGTTCCACATTCCTCAAAACCGCACATTTAGAGGCCTTGCTGCCGGATGTATTCTATCGTCATACCCAATTTCTTCTTCATTTAAATAAAAAGCTGATAACTTCTGAGGTCGTCAGTAGAAATTACATAAAAAATTACTGTCGTTTTGTCGCTATTTGATTTCCATTATACTCTTTTGTCCATTTTGTGGTCATTTCATTCCCAACCATACACACTGATACTAGGTAGCAAAAGATCACGCCCAAATTTAAAGTATCTGTTTATTTCCTCAAAATGTCATTGTTCTCAAATTCCGTTTTAGTTGACGAGAAAGAAACAAAAAATCTTTTCAGGAAAGAAATTATTGCTTTCGATTGACTTTCCGATGTGGCATTATTCCATCGAAAGTAGCGAACGACCGTTTCAATGAATCATATTTCTTCCATCTAGACTGTTTTCTTCATAACCAACGTCATTATTGTTGTTAGTGCTGTCAAGAAAATCACCAGCTTCAATATTTGCGGCTGGCGAAAAACTAAACTGATAGCCATCTTATTGATTAAGGTGTGGTATTTCTGTCATTCGCAGATTTTTCCATTACTTGACAGCTTCCATCATTCCTGTGACTTTTTTTTCAATTTTCTTTTTCCTGTACCGTTGTTTCTTGGTTAAAGATATTGTTACGAAACACTTACACGATCATATGTATTTTTTATTTTTTTTTGTTTTTGTTTTTTTATTTACTTGGGCTAATTTATGCTTTGAAGTATAACTTTCACATCGGGTAAACAAATAACAAAACAATTGGACACTATATTGGCTTTAATAAAAAAGAAAAGAAATACAAAAAAAAAAATAAAGATGACATGAGATACAAAAAAAATAAACAGAGACCCTCTACTTTTCTTTCTTCTTCATTCCTGTTATTCGTACCAGTATCTGAAGTTTGGAATATTTCTCTTGAAACTTTCTTCAGATATCTAAGCACTCTTCGAAACTAATTTAAACTCTTCTCTCATTATCATTAGATTCTCCGTCCAAAATATATTCCTCTCTATCGAACGGGTTATCGGGTACTTCGAGTTTATATACGGCAAAATCATCTAACAGCATGGTAATCATCTTTTAAATCCCCGGATGATTCATTCATGTGATTTTTATTTTTATTATTAAACCCTGTAACTACATAGAATCCCTGACAACTGGATTAAGAAGGCTTTCCTGATATAAGGAATTCGTTACAAAGTCCGGATATGAGGGGTTATATTTAGTTTAAAATAAAAGAACTGAAATCAGGTTTAACATTGAAATACAATGAAATTGATTTTAAGGAAAAAGAATATAAATTTTATAATGTTAATGAAACTTCATTAAATTAAGTATGCCACGTATGCAAAACAAATAATGTAAGGAAGATTTTTTAATCGCTGTTGCATGATGATTCTTTCTCTTCTAATGTCATTCTCGATTTTTTCCGCATTTCGTTTTGCTTGAATTTTTTTAAACGAAAGACATTTTTTAACTCTTCGTGCGTTATTGCAATTTTCATATCTGAATGTTGGCTTTCTTTCCATAAAACTGACAAGCTTTTCAATAGCTTTTTCAAACAGTTCAGATTTCATCACAATCATGCATTTGGTCGTTATCGTGTTGCAGATGCGTCTTGTTGTCATCTTTTTCTCGTATTCCCATCATTTTTACACCAATACAAGCCATTAGGGGGAAATATGCAATTATTCAAAGTAACTTACCTGAAAAACAGTAATCTACAAACAGTTACATATCACCCGAATAGATCAAATATACACACCAAAATCATGCCCTGATATGCGGGATTCCTGTTATGAGGCACTCCGGATATTAGAGATTCCGGATATGAGGGACTCCGGATATGCAGGATTCCAGATATTATGGATTCTACAGTATTTTTCGTTTATTTCTTACCTTCTTCACAGGACTGTAGTATGCTCAAAAAATATCTGCCAGAATAGCTCTCTCTCTCTCACACACACACACACTCTCTCTCTCTCCCTATTCATCGACGAATATGTTTTTCACTCAAGAACATATGGCAAAGTGGATAAAGGTGTTAGTTAGATCCAGTGACATTGACAGGTGTTAGTTACATTCCTATTTACTTCCTCCAAACTACGACCTGATTTCATAATCCTTTGCCACTTGCGCCTATGGTTGGAAGATAGGTCTAAATTCCAGTCTGCTGTTTAAATTATCCACATTTAGTTTCAGGGTCCGACAAATTATACAATCCCAAACTGGAAGATTTCTCCCTGAACTTATGCAATGAGGGTTTATCATGATTTTCATTAGGATTGATGCCCTCGTCTTTTATGCTACAAGCCCAAACTTCTGACAAATATACTACCCGATCTTCTTTCCGCACACGTAACTTTGAATTAATTCGAAATGAACCTCTTAACCAATCTACTAAGCCCGATTGTCCTCGGCTCGCTGTCCGTCTCTACTAACATCCTGTCTGTATTCTTTGTTTTCACTGAATTTGACCACGAATTTAATTCACAATTACTATGCCACTTATTTTATGAACCAACGATTTTATTGTTAAGGGGTCCACATCTTTGTATACAAGTGGACTCGCCCAGTGTGTACTTGTACTGCTGCCGGTGAAGAGAGTGACAAGTACAGTGATACAGTGAGAGAATGAGAGTGTGAGGTAACCGCTTTGTAGTAGTCACAGTTGCGAGCACGTAGACTCAGAAGGAAGTCATACTTCGACACTGAATTTCCCAGACTGTAAATATATTATTATTGCTACTAACCGCATTTCTGGATCTACTAACCGTATTACTAATTGTATTATTACGTCAATACATTTATTTGCTATATTTCATTCCTGCGTTTTTCATTCATTTTGAGACCGGATTTAATATCGGAATCCACAACATTTATAAACAAGGCATTTGTTTTCACATAAAAGTAGATAAACTATTATATTTTAATATTTCGTACTTGGGGAATAGAAATTTTTTTTTCATAATTTATTACTAAACAGTTGACCAGTACTTACATTATAGATTTATATATCTTCGCTTATTAATGAAACATTTGATATCATAATACTGAGAAAACATGAAGAAGTAATCTTTTGAGTAGTTCCCAATGTACAACAATTCATACCCTACCATACTAACTTTGGACTATATATAGTTTAGTTTGTACATCGATTTCACTTCCTTTTTTTTTCTTTTTTTCTTGTTTACATACTAAAATTTTACAAATTTCTCTGATTTCACATATTTTTTATCTTGGTGAATTGAATAATAATAATAATAATAATAATAATAATAATAATAATAATAATAGTTACGTTTACGGAGATAGGACCTGTTACAATTCTATGGGACTACACAATACACACTGACATAACAATCAAAGCCAACCGCACAGACCACAAACAAAAAAAGACTTCAATGTATCTTTGAAGATATGCAAAAAGATGTCAAAATACAAGGACCTTGAAATAGAAATCTCAAAAATGTGGCACATGGAAACATCAACAATCCCTGTTGTAGTTGGAGCCCTAGGATTGATTGGAAAAGATTCCAGTAGACTAATTGAAGGGAAGTCCATGCCTCAAAGAGATACAAAAAATTGTTCTCACAAGTACAGCCCACATTTTACAAAGGGTTTTATCTATGTAATTTTTATTTTCAGTGGAAAGTGTCATGATGCCATTTCTAAACTTAGGTCCCTGGGCGGGACCCGTAAAGAAATGTGTAAACGCCAGAAATCAAAGGAAATAAAAATTAATAATAAAAGTGATGAACTTGCTGAGAATCAAAATGTTTGCGGTGTCTTGTGATGGACTCTCGCTTTTTCTCGTCTTATGCATTTTATTTTCGATGTTGAGAATGTCTCTGAATTATTGTGAGTGTTGAGGCGATTTTCTGCCTGAATGAAGCGAATGCACGCGAATCCGATACCAGATTAGTCGATGGGGAAAAGGAATTGATATAAAATAAGAACATAAATTAGGGGGGGTGGAAAAAAAATTTATAAAAACGAACTGAAAAGATGAAAAAGGAAATGTGGGGGCAACAGGTCGTTTGGATATGGGTAGAAATCAATGAAAATTTACAAAAGAAAAATACGTGTGCAAAGGATGAATGAAGTATGAAAGAAAAACAAACATCATTTTTATTCTTTTCTTGAAGAACAATGAAGAATGAGGAATGAATACAGAAAATAGCAGAAGAGTAAAAGAAAGAACGAGAAAAAAAAAAACAAGAAAGAAAGTCAAAATAAATAAAAAAAAATTAAATAAGGAAAAAACTATAAAGGATCGAAGAAACAAAAAGTGAGTGAATAGAAAGAAATAAAGAAAAAGTAGAACAAGAAGAGAAAATAGAACAAAAGAGAGAACGAAAGAAAAGGAACCCGGAGGAGATAAAATGGTGCTAAAAAAAAATGAAAGGAAGGTAGAATGAAAGAAATAAAAAGAGTAAAAAGGGGATAAAGGGGGAGTTAAGGAGAGACTGAAAGTAAGAAAGAAAGAAACGAAGACTGAAAAGAAAAAGGAAAGAGAGTAAAGAGGAGCGAATTAAATAAAGGAAGAATGAAAGAAAAAAAAAAGGAAGAGAAAGGAGACGAAAACGGAGTTAAAGATATAAATAAACAAACAAACAAAAGGGACAAGAGAGAGAGAGAGAGAAAGGGGGAGCTAAATAAATAAATATATGAAAAAGAAAAAAAATAAAGAAAAAAGGAAAAAAAAGAAAAGAAACAGGAAGGTGAAAAAAGGGAAACTAAAAAAAATAAAAGAAAGAAAAAGTGATTAAACGGATAGAAAAAAGAAAACAATAAAGAGAAAGGGTTAAACTTAAGAATGAACGAAAAATAAATGTAAGCAAAAAAATCAAACACGATATTCAGAAAAATGTGCGGATAATTGAAGGATGTGGAATTAATTTAAAAACGGAAAAAGTTCAAATATGAAAACGAAGAAGGTCACAAAAAATGTAAGACAAGAATAACATGAGATGAAAACATCAAGAAAAAGTCTTCTTAAAGATGCTAAAAAATAAGAACTAGAAAAAAGAAAATAAATATGACAGAATGATAGACAAGAATAAAATGAAATGACGACATCAAGAAAAAGTCTCCTTTAATATGATAGAAAATAAGAACTAGAAAAAAGAAAAAGAAATGTGACAGAATGATAGACAAGGATAAAATGAAATGAGGATATCAAGAAAAAGTCTCCTTTATTATGATAGAAAATAAAAACTAGAAAAAAGAAAAAGAATTGTGACAAAATGATAGACAAGAATAAAATGAAATGACGACATTAAGAAAAAGTCTCCTTTAATATGATAGAAAATAAAAACTAGAAAAAAGAAAAGAAATGTGACAGAATGATAGACAAGAATAAAATGAAATGACGACAACAAGGAAAAGTCTCCTTTAATATGATAGAAAATAAAAACTAGAACAAAGAAAAGAAATGTGACAGAATGATAGACAAGAATAAAATGAAATGACGACATTAAGAAAAAGTCTCCTTTAATATGATAGAAAATAAGAACTAGAAAAAAAAGAAAATTGAATGAATGATAGATACTTTCAAATTGCTTAGGTTAATAAATCAGTCCGAGTTATAAAATGTATAGAATTCTTTTGGCGCGTATCTTTTATTCATTTGTTCATTTGAAGTGACTTTTTTCAGATTTACAAACTTTACACATTTGTTGATTATTTGAATATTACTTGTTCACAAAATGTCTAAGTAGCTTTTATCTCGTAATGAAATTTGCCATTTACAAAATTTCGAAACATTTTGACTCATTAACCGTTGGATGTAAAATAATACGATTAGATTTTGATGACGCTTCTTTTAAAAACATAAATATACAATAATTTTATATTTTCAAACATGTTTTTCTCTGGAAAGAACTTTGCTAGATTAAAATGGACTGTTTATTGCAGTAAACGTTCTATTCGAACTTAAGTAACACATTTTTGTTAATGGGCAGAAATAAACACACACACTCACAGACACACACACGCACAAAAGCAAACCTAGCCCTTTATTAATGAAAAGCAAATAAACATTTCGGGGACTTTCTCCTGCGGGACTCGCAGAGGAATTCGTTGTTTGACGGAACTTTAAAAAGATTTTCTTTCATGTTTTATTTTGAAATTCTTGTTGAATCATCTTGTATTCGTATGTCATGCTGACATTATAAATGCGTATGACATCAAAAGAGGGAATCCGTAAGGGTTTTCCGAAGAAATGAACGAAAACTCCTAAATAAATACTTTGAAACTCAGGCTTCTATATTAAGAGAGATTCATAATTTGAACATGAAAGAGAAAAAGGTGGAAATAGTTGTGGGCTAAATAGAAGATGAGAAGCAAATCATGGAATGAAATGTGAAACTAATGGGAAGAAAAAGGTGAACATACACAAAAATAATAGAGAGGGATATTAAATAAAGGAGCAATCAACCTATTAAGATAAATAGACTGACCAAGACAAAGACAGCAATTAATTGACAGAGAAGAAATAATTGACCTTCATCGATAGATTAATTAATCTACTACTTGGTTGAATTACATAGAGTGGGATAGATTATTCATTTGATTGCTATAAAAAGATTGATACATTAATCGATAGAAGTGATTGATTGATTGACATGAACTGATTGTCATAAAACAATTGACAGATTTAAAATTGGATAGTTTCATACGTATAAACCGCGAGAGATAGCTGAAATCCGATCTATTTGAAGACTAAATTAATCAATAAATTAGTACTCTTTTATTGAGTGATGAGAATATATTGAAATATATCAATTGATTACTACGTAAGGAATAGACGGATGTCGACTAAAGAATACAACAATATTTGAGTGATTAATAGAAATGCATAGAAAACTTTAAAAATGAATATTTCATGCGAAGAGTGTAGAGAAGGAAGACAGTGAAAGGATAAGAATCAGTGTAAATTTGGAAAGAAATTAAAACGAATGAAAAGCAAATAAATAAATAAATATATAAATAAAGGAAACAAGGATGCGAAGAAAAAGAAAGAATATTTAAAACGAGGAAAGAACGAAAAAGAATGAAAACGGACTAAAGGAGAAGGAAGAAGGAATAAAAAAAAATGAAGTTAATAAGCAGGAGAAAGAATAATAATCAAAGAGGAAAATGGTGAAATGAATAAAGGAAAAAGAAGAAGAGGGAAAGGACAAGGAAAAAGAAGGAAAATAAAGAAAATAAGGACAAGAAAAGAGAATGAAAAATGAAGAAAACGATGGAAAAAAGAAACAAGTAAAACTAGTAGTAAAAGGATACGCAAAATTAAAAGAAAAAACACAAACAAAAAGAAACAATAAAAAAGAAAGGCAATGAGGAAAATGCTGAAAAGAAATAAAAATGATGAAAATGAAGAAAGCGAGTAAGAAAGAAAAATAAATAAATAAGAGAACGGTGAAAGGAACAGATTAAGAAAGAAGAAAACAAGAAAAATGGATAAGAAAAAAAAAACGAAGTCAGAAATAAGCAAAAGGAAATAAGGTATTTTAATCATGTGAAAAAATGAACATCCGATAAATGAAAGAAGAAAAAAAAAAACTAAATATAAAGAAGTGAATAGCAGCAAGGAAAGAAAGAATAATGGAAGCTGAAACATTAAGAATGTCTACGAAAAGAAAACATAAAAGCTGGAAAGAAAGAAGAAAGAAAGAAAGAAAGAAAGAAAGAAATAAAGAAAGAAAAGAAGAAAGAACAATTTAAAATTGAGAAAAGACAAACATAATATAACCGAAGGAAATAGCGTAGAAAGTAGAAAGAAAACAATAAAAAGCATTTAAATAAAATATACACTAAGGAAAAGGACATAATATGAAAAGGAAAAAAAAAGAATAAAAATAAGCAAGAAAGAAACAAAAAAAGGAGAAAGAAGGGAAAAGAAAAAATGAATGAAACGCAAAGGAAAAAAGAAAGAATGTTATTTAGAAACTATTAGGAATAAAAGAAAGAATTGAAAGTAAAATAAAAATAGGAACGAAAGTCGAAAGGAAATGAATAAAGATAAAAAGAAAGAAAGAAATTAGATTAGGAAGAAAAGAATAAAAATGAAACAAGAAGAAAATAAAGTAAAGAATTAAAAGAAATCAAAATTTAGTATTTTTAAAAACTAAAAATCAGAAAGGAAAACTGAAATTAAAAGGAATGCGAAAGAAATTAGAAATAATTGAAAGATAGAAAGATGAAAGAAATAATTAAAGATGAAAGAAAGAAAGACGAAAGAAAGATGAAACAAAGAAAGAAAGGAAGGAAATAAGGAAGGAAGGAAGGAAGGAAGGAAGGAAGGAAGGAAATGAAAGTCGAAGGAAGAAAGAAATGTGCCAAAATGTAAGAAATAAGGAAATAAAAGAAAGAAGGATATTCTAGAAAAAGCAAGATATAGCTATTTGATTAATTACATTTAACTTTGGTTACAAAATATTGTGTTTTAATCAAGAGAAAAATGATGAAACGGATAAGATTAAGTAAGAAAGGAAGAATTAAGAAAAACAAAAACAAAAACTGAAAACTTACAGAATTAAAAAAATACATATAAATTTATATTGTGATGGAAAGTAAATTGCTATAAACATCGACATGCAATAATTGTAGAGTCAAAAACGGTTATTTCAAGGAAATGTCATGTCTCTGTCATTAATGATGTGGTTGCTTAGTATGAAATTCACTATGAAGGCAAAGATTTGTGATTTTTCGTTAACCGATATTTATATATACCGTACCTGTGAACACCAATGGGTTTGCCCAATCCTCATAAATACGTAGGACACTATTATAAGAGGGGGTCATATGTTAGCTAAGTAATCCACCACTAACAGTGGTTTACCTACTTCACGCCGCTGGCGAGCATTGTATTTTGTTGATGTTATATTAAGAACATTTACCGGCCTGAATGTCCGAGAAATGTTGGGAGACGCATATTTTCTAAAAAAATTTCTCGGACATTCAGGCCGGTAAATGATGTTAATACTCTTTATTATAAACAGAGCATTTACTTAAATATTTGTATCTATAAAAAGAATGTATAAACATAAAAAATATCTTAATAATTTTCATAATATATATATATATATATATATATATATATATATATATATATATATGTGTGTGTGTGTGTGTGTGTGTGTGCGTGCGTGCGTGTGTGTGTTATTATAGTGGACACTTAGTATTTGAAACAGTCGCCCCATTTGTTTATTAAACAGTGTGCATTACGTAAAACTACTGTCCAATCCAGCGTGTTTCACCGCTCAGCTACGTCTCAGAAAACAAACAAAGCAATTTCTAAAGAAATACTAGATTTATTTTTAATCTGACACCTTTACTAGATTCAAACGTTATTATAGTGGAGAGTTCGTAATTGAAACAGACGTTATTTTTATTTATTAAACTTGCGCATTCAAGAAATAATTGAAAAAGTTAGCGTCAAAGCTTTGGCTTTCGATATTCCAATGAGAACTTTGCCATGCAATTTAAACATTTTCTTGCGAAGAATTGCCGACATAATCGATTATTGATCATTTCTGACATCGTTTGTTGTCCGTGTTTTATTTATTTTCCTTACGGAAAAAATCGTATAGTAAAAAAACTGATCAACAGACATTTTATAAACTTCACCCTAAATCTCCATCTAATCCCAGTTAAGACATTACCATGTGTTACCGAAAGCAAGGGTGAAATATAATAATCAACAGTCCGCCTTATAAAACGAAACGGTAATATATTCTGTTATTTAATTTCCAGACATTTATCTTTAGTTTATATCAGGACAATAATCCTGCAAATACATTCTCTGGTCTTCGGTAATTTTATGTTCTAACATGTCTTTGACACGTACAATATAATTCTTATGCTCGTTTTTAAACTATAACATACATGAAAAAAAGAAACTGGAAATTTAGAATTGTGTGTTCTGTTATGAAAATGAATGATCGGATGAGGTTGAACTCTGTACTGGACTTTTGACATTCACTTAGCAATTTAGCAATGGATACAGAGCATCCATTAAAGAATTCGACTTAAGAAAACCTGAAAATTGTTTCTTGAAATAAACTAAAACTCGCTGAGCAGAAATAGGATGAGGTTAGCATGAGCATGAAACAAAGGCTGCCGTTTCAAGTGACAAGTAGCGACGGGCTACAACTGAATCAACTTCGTGTGCTGCGCTGGTTTCAACAGATTAAATTTCACATGGAGGAATTACTAGCACCTTTACCTAACCGGTTTTATATTTAGAGTAGTCCTTCTCATAGCTCCAGTGCTAGAGATCCCATTCTGTTTTTCTAATTAATCCATAGCTGGGAGTAGAAAAGATGAACTGGTTCCTTTCCTAAAACAGATTAAAGAACGATTAATGTTTAACAATTTGACGGTTTATTTTTTTCAAGTTATTATTTCTCTGGGTTTGTTTTATGGATGTACAAATTGTAGATTATGAGATATGCATGGCAGTAGATAACGGTTGACATCAGATTTGATGAGATTAAGATAGAAGTGGTCGGAGAGTCATCATCTCCGGAGTCGGTTTCACAAGGGAAGCTTTTGTCGAAATTGAACTTCCTTCTTACAAATAGAACCTAAAGACAATGGGAATGATTCACTACTGTATACTGGGCATGGTTATAAGTTGTAAAGGTCTGAACTAGTGGAAAAAAAGAATGTAGCTCATCAAAACATTTAACATCGTAATTGCTATAGAGAATCGAAAGGCTTGTTGTGTTATGTGTGCATGAACTTATTTTCAGAAACCCTATCATTGATATCCCCAAGGGACTGGGGCCCATCAAAATATTTAACATAGTAATTACGATAGAAAAGCGAATGTCTTATGGGGTTACGTCTGCATGAACTTATTTTCAGAAACCCTGTCATTGATACCCACATGGATACATGTTAATTGTATTTTAGTCGACGATACATCAACAGTAGTGGTTCAATTAGTATAGATTGAAATTACTTCTCTAGATGCTTCAAGACTAGCTCTACGACAAATGGCAAAATGCTCACTAAGCTTATCAAGTGAATATGCGAAGTGCAGATGAAACTGAAGGCAATATTTTTCAAGATCATATTGCTGAATATTCTTCTGACATGTGAGATTGGATATCTGTAAAAGTATCTTCCCTTTTTTCTGTTAGTACTAAATTTCAGTTTTTCTCCTACAGTTTTCCAAAGTCCATGCTTTGTTTTTTTGCTTCTCTAGCAAATTTATTTGTTTCTGTTTCTAAAGATTTACATATTTTCATTCGTATTGTTTTTGCTGAATGAATCATTGATATTTTTATTCTTATAAATCCCTTCTTTGGTTTTACAAGCATCATTTAACATCCCCATTATTTATTTCTTTATATAATTGGATGTTTTCTCTTCCTTTTAATGTAATATATTTGGTTATTTTTTAATTATAAGCAGCTTCTCTTTTCCTTGTTTTTTTTTTTTTTCTCGTATTGTTTTCAACTTCAATAGATATCACTTTCTTTCTTTCTTTCTTTCTTTCTTTCTTTCTTTCTTTCTTTCTTTCTTTCTTTAAACGTTATTCTATTTTTCTTCGTTCCTCCCGGTTTTGCTTTGCTTCTTTCTTCCTTTTTTCCAATTATTGTTTCTTTTTAACTTCCATGTCCGTGGTTTTCTTTTTCTTTTCTGATTTCATACATATATTCTTTCTTTCTTTCTTTCTTTCTTTCTTTCTTTCTTTCTTTCTTTCATTGCTTTGTTTTCCCTTCCTCATTTATAGATTTTCATCAGTTTCTTTCTTTACTTATTTATTTCTTTTTGATCTTTCCTATTCTAAAACAGGATGCTTCCATCTTTCTTTCTTTCTTTCTTTCTTTCTTTCTTTCTTTTCCATTTTCTCTTTTCCTCTACCTTCACCAAATGCCTTTTCTTATCGATACATTCTTTCTTTCTTTCTTTCTTTACTAAGACAGTTTCTTTTTTCTTTCTATTTTATAACATTTGTTCCTGTTTGTTTCTTGTTTGTTTTAGCAAAAGTTATATTTTGCGACTTTTCTCTTTTATTTCATATTTCTTTTTTCTACACATTCATTTACTCACTCCTTCTGAAATTACTTCCCCTCCTTATCCTCTTATATTTTCTCCTTTTTCTTCTTTATTTATTTTTTGTCTTGCATTTTTCCAGTTTTCATTAATATTTCGTTTATTTATTTATTTTATTCATACTGCAACACTGTGCGCGTAAAACCAAGTAGAATAATTTTGGGTTAAGGATGAAGAAGGAGAAGCAAAAAAAAAAAAAAAAAAACTGAAGAAAAATGAAAAGTTAAAGGATGTAGTGGGATCTTTTCATTTGTCTGTGAATTGATTTAACAAATCGCAAGAACGCAAGATTTCATTGTAAAAATATCTTTACCTCAAAATTGTTCATCGAGAATCTTTGACTTGGTAGCGAACAAAAGTCTAGGAGAGGAAAAACCTCTCGCCCAATTTTACTTCCTCTGTCACTGACAATTGTTGGCAAAATCTCCTTTCTGGGGACAATAAAAGTAGCCCATTCTGACTATACTTTGTACTATTTTTACGACAAGAAAACATTTCTTTTGTTGAAAGTATATCTTATTGGACATTCATTAAAAAAATACAAGTCTTTGGTGCATCGGCATGAAGACTAACACTAAGTGAAAACTCTAGTACAGCCTAGTAAGAAACAACGACTATAGTTGTCAAACACCAATTCAAACCTCTTATGATGTTGTGACTATGTTGCAATATATTCCCTTCATTTTTCTTTGTCGCCCTTTCTTTGTTTCTTCTTTATTCTTTCCTTCTTAATTTCCCTGTCGAATCTTTCATTTCATTTTACCTCTGAGTGATTCTGTGTTTTTCCTTTTCATGATTGTCTTGTTTTCCCTTTCACCTTCGATTTTTTCTCATCGCATTCCTTTGCCGTAATTTTTCTTTTTTGTCTTCTGCTTCTACTTCATTTTTTCCATCGTCCTTCTTTCTTTTAAGTAATTCCTTCTTTTACTTTCACTTTCATTTCTCGTTCATACTTGAATATTCCTCGAGGCTCAACACGTTATTTTTAGAGATAGAGAGATTTCAAGTTTATCTAATGAATTCAACTTTGAGATAATTAGGTTTAATAAAATATGTGATGCAAATGAAGAGGCAAAATCAGGAAAGTTATATGATTATTTAGATTAAGAAGAAGAAAGAAAATCACGTAAGAATGAACCAGAAAGATTATATAAGAAACATTCCGGTGTCTATCAATAAAGGTATCAAAAGATATATATATATATGAATATGTAGATTTATATTAAAGAAAAAACAAAAACCGTTGATGGTACCAACAGGCAACTTAGCAAAACCTAAAGCTTTTATCCAGATACATTCTCAAATAAAAAAAAGACAATACTGAAAAAGAAAATGGCAGACTTATCTACTCAGTAAAGTGCTCGAAGGTAAGATTGTATAGACCGAGCAAAAAACAAAAAAACAAAACTAAAACATTAACAACGGCAATTCCTATAAAAGGATGGCTCTAGGCATAACCGTAGTTTCATGGTCAGGCGATCTTCAGGCGGCTTGAACGGAAATGAAAGAAGAGAAGTGCGAGCTTTATAAAACCCGTGAACCGACATAAACCATCACGTGAAAAATATCATAAAATATAATTTCATTTAAAATCTCTCTCTCTCTCTCTCTCTCTCTCTCTCTCTCTGTAACGAATGCACGGCCGCAATTTTCGACGGATTTCATTTGCACCAAATTTTACATGCACATGCTCCAAGTTAGCGGGAAGGCCAGGGCCGACTTTGCATTTCCCAACTCCCATCGATAATGGAAATAATCGATTTTTTTCATGCTTCTACGGCAGTTTTCATGTAGTTTGTGGCCATTTTCTAATGGCAAGAGTGAGAGCCTATAACTGGCTGCCACGAATAAGCAGGAAGATTTTTTGGCCAGCGTGAGAGCCAACAGCTGACTGACACGAATGTTAACTAGCATGCTAGCATGCAAAAAAAATCGATAGCTGCATTCGTCACAAGTGAGAAAAATTTAAATCTGCATGGCACTTTACTCCAATTGGCTCATTCGCTTGCTTAAACTCAACATTGATTCTGATTCCGCAGAACTGGGTTTGGTATGAAAAAGTATTTGTTGGTAACATTCTTTTTTCATTCGGTTTTTCCAGTTACGAGTTCTTTTTTAAAGTTGATCGTTTTGTGTTCATTTTATTTAGTTCTTTTTTCGTAACAGATTTAATGTTTAGAATAGAGCTTAGAAAAAATCGCAGTGTCAGGCAAGAAGTAAGGCATGTAGCAACATCAGCACTCCTTTAAATGCAAGGGAGGGCAAAAATATTTCAAGTGATAGAGATTGCTGTATGAGTCGTGCGATTTTTAAATCAAGCACGGACAACGCCGGGCCATGCTGCTAGTATATATATATATATATATATATATATATATATATATATATATATATATATATATATATATATATAGTGGTTGTTACTGCTGATAATGCAAAGCTCTTCTATGAATCGAGCGCTCTGAATCACTGGCGGGCTTATTCGAAAATAAATGCGTAACAATTCACCTTCTCTCTTCCAGGAGCTGATAGCTTAGTGGAAAAATCTCTAACTGATACCAAATCAGTCGGGTTTTGATCCTAGCATGAGACAATCGGATTTCAAGCCTGCACTGATGAGCTGTGATACAGTGAAACAGTCCACACACACACACACACACACACACACACAAACACACACACACACACACACACACACATATATATATATATATATATATATATATATATATATATATATATATATATATATATATATATATATATATTTGAAGCAATCGTCAGGCCACGAGTCCTGACGATTGCATCTTGCATGAAACAGCCTGTCGCCTCAAAGTGTTGACTTTAATGTTCACTTATATATATATATATATATATATATATATATATCTTATGAAGAAATATTAATATTTACTCATCTTCCTGTCAATATTACTAATTTTCCTTCGCTAAAACAACTGTTGTTTCTATACGAAATTTCGGAAGCTCTGTTGATGCTTTCAGCCTTTGGGATTTAACTTCCAGGTTATGTAATTAGTGTATGACATGGAAAATCATCATAAAACATATTTGTACCTAGCAAAACTACTTCTATAACTATGTGTTATATACAAAAACAATATTGATAAAAACCATAATTATATGCCTTAGAAACCGAACTTATTTAGCTTACGCATCTCTATTCTACATATTAGGGCCATTGTTAGTCTGAATAAGCCCTTTCGAAGAACTGAATGTATAGCCTTTATTCCATTACACACACACACACACACACACACACACACACACTGTTGAAGCTTAAATAAGCATGGAATAATACAACACAAAATGTACGTTAACAAAATGTATTGAAACAAAGAATAGGTACACAATATTTACAGTTAGTTTGGTATATTCTTGGGAAGACTGTTCCTGCATAATGGGTTGACTAAATCGCAGTCGGGCAGAGTCTCTGGATTCAATTTCTTAATCTCTACTATCTTCCCCGTCTTCCGGTACCAACCCATATTTATATGGTCGGTAGTCCGCTTATGTAAATTAGGTGTATCATACACAACACACACATATATATATATATATATATATGAAAGATGACCAGAGAACACTACTATGGTTTCGGCCTCTACGGTCGTGTCAGGTGGTTTGTTCAGCAAACCAACTACACGGAGCTCAAGAGGGAGGGATCGGTGTTCGCACCGAGGCGAGCGCAACCAACGGTTGCGGAGGCTGAGTGGAATTTTTGACCCTTCCCGGGTGCACGCCCTCAGGTCCCCACATTAATCCGACCTTGTGTCACATCTCATTCCTGTGGGGGAATCAGTAAACACCCCCTAAATTTGATCTATCGCTAAAAATGCACTGAGTTTCAGGTATGCCGTGCTTTTTTTTTTTTTTTTTTCCGAAGTAACATCTTTCTCAGCAGCATCACCGGCGCTTATGAATTAATTTGAATTTTCTTTTAATAATTTTAATTTCAAGTTAAGAACTAAAAGGTAGTAGGCAGTAAAGATTTAATGAAATTGCCAAAAAAAAAAAAAGAATCCTGCAAGAAGAAGTGTGTCTTATTCTTGTATTATTCTTTCTTTTGCTTACAAATCAGGGCACGACATTATGATTGTCATTTCAATTATTTATCATCGGAATTGACAGGAAAACCGGAAGTGAGTTCTACAAGCGATAAGTGTGAGAGAAGAAATTTAGCATAGAATTTATTCTTACAACTAATTTCAACTGTGAGTCCTCGCTACACATCTAGTACGGTGTTTAAAGTCATGAAATCAAGTTCCCAAAGAGGAATACTCATCGAAACAAATGGCACTTTTAATTACATTCACCCAAAACCCATGTACAATATACAAACATAATATGTACAACAGCAAAAATAAGTGAATCTTGAAGAATCATTTATAGATTTTTGAAAAATTAAGGACATTTACCGGCGTAGGGTTTAAACTTATTTTCTGGTATGGGATTTTATTTATATATTTTCTTTGATTTGTAGACGATTATTTTTGTTTACTTAATTATTCTCCTATTTTTTGCAAATTCTTCATAATAAAAACTTTTCCGTCATTCATTCTCCAGAATTTTTGTAAACTTAATTTCCTTTTTTCATTCATTCTTTCTTTTTTCTTTCTTGACAATGATCGATAACATATGACTTTTTTTGGCAATATTGTCAGTTCCATAGTTGTGGCCTTGTGCCAGACTAGAATATTATTACTAGAATATTATTAGATAGCTGCATTTTCTTTTCTCTTCTTCAATTTCTTTTTCGATTTCTCACAAATTTTCTGTTATTGATTATTGATTAGTTCTTTTCTTAGTTAATGATGATCATCAGCAAGAATATTTCTGATTAATATTTATTAAACTTATGCTAGTCTGGTACAAGGACGCAACTGTGGTTACACAATGAGAACGAATTAATGTAAGTAATAAAGGTTTCCTATATTTTTTTACAGTTAATTTTGGCCATTTTCTAAGTCCGTTGTTTGCTGATCGAATGCATTTACAAGCCTGAGCCATAAAGTATCGATTCCAAACAATTAATCCTTGAAACGAATTTGATTCTGGCAACACTCCTACACTT